TAACAATGATAGATACTCAATAAGTTCACGGAAGATTTTCGGTTGAGAACGACCGATCATGTGATTCCTTGTCGTTTTATTGAGCGAATTTCGAAGTTGGTACATTTTATTCTTGTTGTCTCCCGTTGAGCTGGGACTTTGTGCTAGTAGTTGCTGAAATTGCGGTAGGTATGATGACAAGTTCTCATCCCTAAATTGTCAGCATGCATGGAAAAGCGCAGCCGCAGATTGTTCTTTGTTTCTATCACGAAAGGCGTCATCCATGGCCTGAAGTAAGCCTAAGGCATCCCATATTGCATCGTTGGCGAGCATATCTTGGAATTGGCCAGTGATCATATCCTTGGCAGTTCCAGTCACTGCATGGCTGTAAAGCTGCATGAAAAAATCCGATGGTTCGAGTATGTTGCGCTCCTCTACATGGCGCCGGTATATGTACCGAAGGATTCCGTGTGTGGTAGTCCACTTAGATCTATCCTTGTGATCATAAGCTTCCGGCCATTTCAATGGTTTTTCTTTGCCTAATGGCTCCCTTTGTTCTGATGAACGACCAGGATTAGGTATCAATGGCTGCAGGGGTACCTGGTCATTGTTCTGCGACTGTTTCTGCATGGTTGACATCATTTGGTTCATTTGTGCTTGTAACATTGCCATATCCCACCTGTGTTCTGTATCCCTTCGTCTTATTTCTTCAATCATTTTTTGCATGTATGTCTGAGTTTCTTCATGTTGCATCGATTCCTGGTTTGACATACCAGTTGCAATGAAGCCCGTTCCGATTTCAAGATTTTCCATGTTGGGACCCCTTATTGATTCTTCGAATCCCTGTGCTGATTTGAATGATAACTCACTTAGGCGACTCGATCGTCCAGAGCTAATTATCCCGTCCGTTGATGTTGATGGAGGAGCAAATGTTGGCATCCACTTCCTTGGCAGTCCTAAGTCGATTAATCTGCTAACCGTTCTATTCCGATAAATTGAAAATTCCCCTAAGTCACAATAATCTAATGATGCGATATACTTAATAACGGGCCATATATGTGAATGATAGAGTTTATACTGTGATAGAAACCGAGTTGGTAATGAAAAAATCGATTTAATAAACTCTATGAAGAAGAGAAATCTAACTACAGCTACAAGGTACTTATAACATTTTGTCCACTGTATGAGTCTCGTTGCTTATACCTTTTCCTTAGGTCGAATAATTACCGCACGGCTACGCATTGCCCATATTCACTGTGCTATGACATTGCTTCGATCCCAACAGTCTTATCCTCAGAGTCCTCAACAATGCGCTTAGGTATTCACCTAAGCTTAAACAACGGGTAAACCGTAACAGTTTTGTAGATACTTAGATACTATAAGGAAATGGTTAAACTGTCCTTTGCAGCTATTGATGGTGACATGAATAAAGATGATGATTGTGATTGAGATAGATTTCTATCTAGTTTATAATACATGATATGCTCAGGTTCATATACCTCGAGCCAAGCAACCAGATTATGTTCCTCCAGATCTAGATTCATCAGAATAATTACTTACTCAGTAAAATTCTCCTAGTCTCAGTTGTGTGTTTAGGATCTTGATTAGGTTTCTAGTAACTAGTCAATGATGTTTCTCATATCACTGAGACATAGTCATGGTTGATACAACAGGTACAAACGATGAATCGTGTCTGTACATGACGTTGTGATATAGTCATGATTGTCTGAACAATATCAACTCATGAATGAATCATGTCTCTACATGACAGATACCCTTCCATTCCTTGTAGACAATCTCATTCAACAAGGTTAGACTTTGTCAATCTCAGCTAGTAAAGCTTCTCGTGACATTGAGAATAGTCCTCCTTGGCACTATGAGGTTATCGGGGGGTTCCTATGCCTAGATGGCGTCACACTCGCTTGTGCTGTGGCTTAGGCTATATGTCGCTTACACTTGTACTTGTAGCGCACACTTTCCGCTCTTTTAGCTGTAATCCGAACATGACACTATTTTAGTCAACTTCTACTTTCGTGCCACAAGTATTGCGCCCAATTTATTGCGCGATATTTTCAACAAGGAACTCCACGAAAAATGTACTTCATGGGCTACGAAGTGTGGGGTTAAATTTGCACCGGAGAAATATCAGCTAATGCATTTCTCGAGGTCCCGGAAACGTAATAATCTGAACACTGCTAATCATATATAGAGTCACGAGATGATCCCCAAATTGTCTCTTCGATTTCTTGGAACTCAGCTTGACCCCAATTTAAAGGATTACAAGCAAAAGCGGAGTCTTAGATGCAGGTATTGAGTCGACTAACTCAGTCAACGTGGGATGCAAATTTCAACAAATTACGACTATTATACTACTGGGAAGTAAGACCAGCGCTTACCTAAGGATACTCTATCTGGGCTAGGACTAGACCGGCAGGCAACATCCCTGAAGGGATACTCAAGCTACTCAGAAGTGTTCAAAGGCAATCCCTAAAGCCCATTAGGGGGCATACCAATCGACCAGTAGTAGAATGCTAGAGCATGAATCATCAACTCTCCAGATAGAGATCTACCTTAGACAAAGGCGGCTCCAATATACTGGGCTATCCAATGATCTACCTGTCAAACTGACAATTTCAGCTGCACGCAGAAAAGTAAAATTTCTTGATGAATAAAAGTTAAGTAAACGCGATCAGAATAGGAGAGATGATATAGCGGAATGAACCCTTATCTACAGCAACATCGAGTCTAAAACAGGACAGAAAGTAGCCGGTAAGAACGCCGCGTTCAAGAAATGGTCAGAATCCTGGACGAGCTAGAAGAAGGAGCGACACTTGGGTCTTCGAGCGCAAGCCAATCCCGATAAGCGGAAAGCTGCAAACTTATATAACGATAAGAAAAGGTAGACTTATGATGAACTATAGAGAGTCACCTATCAAGATCCACCAAAACTTTAGCAGGGCCCAGAGCAGCATTGCCATACGAGTAAGAAGCGAGCACATTGGGCTCAATGCTTACTTATACAGAAGGAATGTGCCAGGAGTAGGAAAACTATACTGCCAATGTGGACATCCGTCCTAAAATATAATGCACATGGTGATGTCTAGTCCAAGATGGGAAAAGGGAAGAGGTGAGTTGCTACGAAAATCGACAACTCGATCTTTCGAAGCTATGGTAAATAACGTCAAAGATATGACTAGAATTACACAGTGGATTCAATAGGAAGGATAGCTAGAGCAGTTTCGGATGATCGGAGAAATCGAGGCGTTAATCAGGCGAAGTGAGGAAAATGGAAACACAGGACAAGGACGGAATCCACAATGGCAACAACAGTGTGAGTTCACTTCCTAGAGGTAAGACTATAATGGCGTAGGGTCCTTTTTTTTTGCATCAGATTTTAATTGCGTATGCAGCCATCTAGCTATGACACAATATCAAAGAAGAGTACAGAATAGATGACTCAACGTAAAGGAAGGGCACTCATGCCTCGAATTTCATTTGCAAGTACCACTGCGGAGTTATGGCGGCTTTTTCTTCACCCCAAGTCAACCCTCATCCGTGAATACTCACCCAGGGGAACGTCTCAAAAATCCTGAGTTATCCAGACATGGCTCCATCATCTTTCAACTTTTCTCCGCGCGAAATGTGGTCTTTAGCGTCTCCTTCCCAAGTGAAGTAGGTGCCCAGGCTACTCAGACTATATCAGAGAACACCACGGCGTAGGGTCCAATCATACAGCTAAGGGGTTTTTACTGCAGGGTTTCCTCCTATGTAAATATTGAAGTTCGTAGATGTTGTAATTCTAACAGTACTGCATCTGTTACACTAGTCATGTACTATCTCGTTTTCGTTTTCGTATCATTTAATACTGCGCCACATCTATTTTCTGTAATATTAATTATTCTTGGCGCTCAACACAAGATATGCTGGAAATTATGGTATATGCCTGATTCCATCTTACACTCAGCTAGCTTGGGAGTCTACTTGTGGTAAAGACATACCTTCACCATGATAACGTCGCCATACTGGGACGTGGGCGCATATCCTGGTTTATTTCTAAATTTGTCTCACTAGGACTGATTCCTGAATATATATGTAGTGTTCTTCACATTCAGAAATCTTCAGTTCATTACATTTACTGAATATATTTAAAGGTCTATTCATACCCCCTTCGTGTCACCCTACCAAGCTTCACCCTAAAGCTCTATTCAAATGCTTCGTTGTTCGGCAGATATCCTTCACCACCCTCTACCGTTCCAGCATTCCTCTACGACCTGTAACCTCACAAAAGTAGACACCTGCATGGACCCATAGTGCGCTAAAGCGGGCTAAATGAAATCAAATTCAAAAGGATAATAAATGGAAGGTATAATGGTCCGCCTGCTAATAATGTTCACCAGTATAGTTTGAACAGTATAGACACTTTCTGTGCTTGGGAAAGAAACGGCTTAGACCACATGTCGCGCAGATATGTGTCTGTATAACCCAGGGGTCTTGAGAATTTTTCCTGGGCAGGTATTCACAGGTGAGAGCTGGCTTGAGGTGAATAAAGAGCCGGCATAACTTCGAAGTGGTTGTCGCAAGTAAAATTCGAGGCACGGATGCTCTACTTTTAGAGTGAGTTTATGCTATATTTAAGTCTGGTATTTCGTCATAGCTAGATAGCTACACGCACAATTAAAATCTTATTCAAAAAGAAACCCGTCGGATACTTCGTCTTCCTGGAAATTGACTCAACCTCTGCAGCTGTTAAGCTTGGTCAAATCCTCCTCCAAGTAGGTTTGTAACACATGTAAAAACCGCAATCCAATCTTAACTAAGAAAAACAGCCTTTGACAAAATCAGATCCAACAGGATTCATTTAAATCTAATAAAATGGGGATGCCTAAAATCGCTCAAATGAGGCTTTTTCAAAGACCCTACTTTTTTCTCTACATATACTATTTACATTCAGGATTAAATCTTGATAATTTGACTCAATACTATCCCGTTCATGAATTTTGGGCTTTTTCATATCAGCTGTAATGAAATTCTCAACAGGCGTAGCCTTGGAAGCAATCCACATAATTGTGATATTAACCTCTATCTCTGAAGGACGACGTTTTCAATGCAAGTCAACCACAATTGCCGATGAAGACCTTGAATCTATCCGTCTACTCGCATGTAACAGCTTGCAAGCAACCATGGGAACGTCAACAATCGACATTAGATCCAAGAACAAGGACGAACTTAGCTACGATTGGGACCTTTCCGAGCCGTTGGTGTTAGCACAAATGAAAGGTAAGCCCATACTCTATGGAAAGCATGATTTTTCAGTGTAGATTTTGACGAACATCATTTCTAGATAAAAGCATTTCACATGTGCAGCTCAATAGCAATTGTGAAATCACATCAATCAGAGTGTCCAGCAAAGAGAATGATGATGAAATTTGTACAAAAGAAAAGTCTATCCTAAAGCGTCAAGATGGACATGCGGTTTGCAATGGTGTTACATTCTGGCAGGATAAAGTTGCAAATACAGCTTCGACAGCCTGTGAAAATGGGGTAATCGATCAGAGACAAGCGCTTGGGTTGAAAACTCACGTGCCGGCCACCTTCAATTCTAGAGATCACTACATGAAACTTGTTCAAGAATTCGATAAAGTCTATGAGAAGGGTAAGTTGCCCCTTATTTCTAAAATTCAAAATCAGTTAAGCTAGAGTTTTCTCTAGATTATAAATACCCGTCATTTGTCGTTTTTACTCGTAATTGTTATGTTGTAGGAGCTATGGTTGAGATCAATGGTGTATTTGTTGGTTGCGCCTGGTAATAATGACCGAGTTATTTGGGAATTTCGATAAGAGTTGTTAGATCAATAAGTGAGTGGCGAAATTGTATAATGTTATTATTTAAACATAGTGGTACATCTTATTTTTTTGCATCAGATTTTAATTGCGTATGCAGCTCTCTAGCTATGACTCAACATCAAAGAGAAAGTTCAGAATAGATGACTCAAATGAAGAGAAGAGCACCCATGCCTCAGATTTTATTTTCAAGTATCTGTGAAGGGACGAAATATAAACTTCTCACTTGCGCATGCCCAAGACAGAATTTAAATTCTACCTAAAGAGATAGAATGTACGGGATGTATTTTCATGGATGCAAGTAAAGAGGCGTCGCGTAAGACGAGCCTTTACACAAGGAATAACAACGCTTGACCACAAAGGTGTTAGCGCTTTGCAAGGGATGGTATGAGCTCGGGTCCCAAACTAACACTGAGGTATCTGGTGCACCTTAATAAGAATAAAATGACAAATGTTGACGGTGAAATTCGTGGATGTCTCGTGGCTCCGATTACGATAATCTGTATATGTGTGGAGCTTGAGACTAGGTGTAAACTTTTAATTCTATTGAAGTTCTAGATCCCCTTTAAATACATGAAATTCTCTCTACTTCAGGTGATGTAACGATCAATAATACATGGCAAAGCAAACTATCAGAATACAGTAGGGGAGGAGTGGGGTGCTTAGCCGCCCAGCTTATGAGCAAAGAATGCGAGGGTTGCATTCTTGATGGGACCTTAAAACTCGCCGGCTCGCTTGCCGTGAGACTTGGCCTTTCGCTCGGACTTGGAATTCAGGATCCTCAACATGGGACAGACTGTGAGAGTACCACTACGAGTCTTTGGTGACTTTTGCTTTACCCTAAGTTACCTAGATCTGTCTCCGTTTTTCACTAGTTTTTTTCCGCGCGAAATTTGGTCTGTGGCGTCTCCTTCCCAAGTGTAGTAGGTGCCCAGACTACTCAGACTTTACCGGAGAATACGAGGAGGTAGACCACGGCACCTTCTATCGCTGGCTTGTGTTTGATTTGATGTGATAATATTTTATCGTACTACTTGAGTCATAGACTATCTAGCACATTGGGATCCTTTCTGGGCCAGGTGTTATGGAAATACTCCCTTATGTATGTACTGTCTGCGCGAGTATGGTGGAGATGGAATCTAGGGTCTAGTCAGCTATAGAGACTACCAAGGGTGTATGTTGGATACGTTTGCTAAGCAACGGAGACTGTTACGATCAGCGTCGTTAATTAAAATCCCTTCTGTAAATAGCAAGATGTAGAAGTCATTCCGTCTCTATATTTCGTTGATTGACTGATTTTATTCTGGACTTCCTCTGCTGTATACCAACATCAATTGATCCGGCGAAACCAGGCCACACCTTATATTCCTGTCCCCCTTTGTTAGTTGTAACATCATTGATATGTTGCCCGTGATGAATAGCCATTCAACTCAGTGTTTATCCATGGAATTCGGTCACCTTTTACACCGAACCTTCTACTTTAAAAAATGGCAGCAATGGAAACTACGTGCGCAGGAAAAGGTCTCAAAAAACCTGCAGCCCCAGCCAGGCGAGCCCTAGACACCGGGACCGCATGAGGTGTGCAGATTCATCTCTATCTCCCCTCTTTGTGACGTTGGAGGCCAACTTGATCCAATCCACAATCTCCGTATCGGGTGCTGGTTACGCACCGGAAACTCATCGGATAGCTTTCTTCCATGACCAAGGTTTGGTGATGAGTAGGGCTTCGACCCTACTATCTGATCGCAAATGCGACTAGGAATCCTCATCAAAGTGAGGACTTCGTTACTCAATCTCGACTTTGCAGACTCTACAGTGAGAGCTTGTGGTTCGTAGGGGACACCACTGGCAGGTGTTAATGATAGTCCCTCACTTGTGTTTAAAATTTCAGCTGCAAACTCGTAATTTAAGTCTTGGCGCGCAGAGTTCAATTTGTAAAGCTCCATACAAAAGTTCAAAATTTTCCGCCTAACAAGATTATATCCATCCTCTATATTCATTGTAATTTGTTTGCTAGACCTGGCGGTGTAGCTTACACAGTTAGAGAGTGTATTTTGGAATGCAGTGGTGGCTCGTTACAGATGCGATTGCGACAATACAATTGAGGGTTGTATGAAAGTTTGGCACTTCTATGGGGCTCATTTGTTTGGAGGTTGATTCAATTATTTGATGAAAATTACTTGTTATGTCTATCTACAGAGACTGTTTTGTTTGTTCATTAACGTGCTAGGTGAAGTAACTACCGTCGCACTCCTACTAGAGCTTGAGCACGAGTGAGGTCGGGCCGGATCAGGTTAACTACCGTGCAGTACAAATGCCTCGTTCCACCTAAATGACCGGAACCATGCCAAAATGCATCTATGTGCTGACCCATGACGAATTCAGCAGCCCAGAATTGAAAACAAAACAAAAACTTTCCCGCGAAATCCCGCATTACAAAAGGAAAACTTATACGATCTCCCTTCCTTCGTTCCGCCTCAGCCACCACGCGCCTGAGCCTCGATTCCAATCTCTCTGTCCATGCCAAACCACCTAGGCCTTTGATCTATCACCTCCGAGTCACAGGTATCCCTGCCATCCCTCGCCTAGCCTCCGCGTATATTCCACTCTTCTGAACGTAGTCCCTGAACAGCTGCCATCCCCTTGATCCGAGCATTGTTTCCAGAGCCGGCGCCCTGCGCTTTCCGCTTTTCAGCCGCCATGTTGCCAGTGCTTTTCGACACTGGACAAGGTGCCCAACTAATTTTTCCCTCCCGCACTCACAGTAGAGTTTGGCGTCAGTGTGGTTGAAGCGGCGATGATATGCCACAAAGTCCCCATGTCCAGTTCGAGCAGCGATTAAGCGGGCGTAGACCGCTCTAGGTAGCGCTAGTTCTGGCGGTTTCTTGCGCCGCATCTCGAGTTCAAGGTCGGCGTAGTGTTTGGAGCGATTCGAGTGCCACCAGTCTGTCAACATCTGCCTGGCCAGTTCACGGGCTTTCCGTCCAGATGAGGCGAGGGTCATCACACCATGTGTCGTCCTAGAGTTGTCCGGCGAGTTGAGCTCTCTTCGAGCGAGTTCATCGGCGATTTCATTTCCTGCTAGCCCTTCGTGGCCTGGGATCCATCCTATTTTGACAGGTGCGGCTGATCCCGCGGCCAGTTTCACTAACTTTTGGGTACGCCAGGATGATGAGCTCGTTGTTCCCGTCAGTAAAGCCTGAACAGCCGCAGCATTGTCGAGCAGGAGATAGATGGAGCTGCGTCCTCGATCTCGATTCCTGGCAGTAATTGCTTCTATAGCGGCCAAAGCTCCATGAACCTCTGCGTCGTAGACCTCCGCATTGGTAATTTTGCCTGAGCCGCTTTGCTCGATTGTCGTACCTGTGCCACTGATAAACGTCACAAAGGCCCATGACACTCTGTCGGTGGACGCCCCAGAACCTTCACTGTAAACGCAGAGACAGTTGGGTGGGAGTGTAGGTAGCCACTCTCTTATGAACTTGGCAGCCTCTTTCTTGCTTGTCTAGCAGGAAATTGGCTGAGGGGGGACCAGAGGTTGGAGCGGTGGAGGTAGTTCAGCCTCTGGCAGAAGTCGATACATCCTCTGGACCCTCAAATCATGAACTCTATCCAGACCAAGTCAGCTTTTGTTGCATGTCTTTAGTCCTAGTCGGTGGCGAGCGCTGTCCGTGCTTTCCGTGGCCCGAAGTCGAAGCGGATGATAATCATCCAGTCTTTGGATTCTCGCAACAGTCTTGAGCCAGCATTCCTCGACAAGAATATGTGCAGGTGGAATGCCAGTCTTCCTTCTCAGGGCTGCGATGGGCATGATGCGCAAGGTTGGTAGAGCCACGCGAATTCCTCAGGCAGAAGTTTGGTCCATAACTTTGCACTGCCTTTTGCTTGAATTTCGCGCCACACCCCGATATGTTTCCCTGGTTGGCCCCGGGTACCAGGATTTCGCTGCGTGCATCGCGATTGGCAGGGCTACCGTGCGGATGACTGTGGTTAGTAGGCCGGGTTTTGGTCCCTGAGTACACTGAGTGAGTCGCCGGAAGTGTTGCACTAGTCGCATTGCTTTACTGGTCCACTTTGCGACGTGGCTTTCGAAGGTCAGGCCACGATCCAAGTAAACTCCGAGCCATCGAATGTTGTCGGATGCCTGAACATCGCGAGGACGTACCCTTATGGTTGGAAGGTCGTATCCCCTGGATCTAAGGCCGAGGAAATAGACTGCTTCGGCCTTGTCGGGGTCGAAAGAGACGGCATTTTCAGCAGCCCACCCTAGGACTGCATCAACTTCTCTCTGGACAGCTGCTGCGGCTTCGTTTGGAGTCGAACCTATGCCGACAATAGCAACATCATCTGCATAGCCAAATCTCCAACAGCTGCCCCCCACGACTTCGGCCATGTAGAGGAGGAAGAGAATTTGGGGTAGAGACAATCCTTGTGGCAGCCCGCATTCTAGGTGAATTGGGTCTGTTACTCCGTCCTCGTGTCTGACGCGGGCAGATCGTTCTTTCAGGAAAGACTTTATCCAAGTGATAGCTGGTTTAGGCTACCCAACTTTATTCATCCTTTGCAACAGTCGTCCGTGGAGTACGGCGTCAAATGCACCCTGTACGTTCAGAGTGACAAGGACTGCTTTCTTCTGCCTCTTCATTGCATGCTCCACATCATGGATGACGCATGAGACGAGGTCATTAGCGGATCTGCCGGAGAGTGGTCCAAAAAGCTGCTGCGGCACGGCCTTGTACGAAATGGCGGTGTAAGCAATTCGCCTTGCGACAAGTCTCCCAAGACCTTTGCCGAGAGAGGATAGCAGTGCGATAGGTCTCCATCCTTTAGCTGTACTGAGGTTACGGCCAGGTTTGGGGAGCAGAATTACTTCCGCGAGCTTGAATGCCTTCGGGAAGTGGTTCAGTCGAAGTGAGCCATCAAAGAGTACTCTCACTGCGTGACCAATTGACGTCCAGGCTGTCCTAAGAAGCCGCACAGAAATCGCGTTTGCTCCGGGAGCTTTATTTTGGCAGGCCGTTGTGACCAACCTGGCTTCTTCGTCCGTGACGCTTGAAACCCATGGAAGGTTTCCGAGTCCTGGCTCGGGGTGTTCCGTGTCCACGTCATTTTGGCTGGTGAACCGGCCGAGATGGAGATCGCGCAATTGAAGTGCACGCTTTCCTGGTTCCGAGACAAAACCATCCGGAGTTTGGAGTGGTGGAGTAGCAGATGTAAATTGCGGCTTTGCCCAACGTGCCATCCGATACATGTCGATGTCAGTTGTGGCTTCGGAGAACTTCCGCCGCCAGTACTGGCATTTCGCACTTCTGACAATGCGACGGAAATCCTTTCTGCTCTCTTCATCCCTGAATATCCTGTATTCGCGTTTGGCCTGTGAGCACTCCAACGTCCACTAAGGTGCCGCCCTACCCTTCTTAGCACTCCCGCGTCTTCCGGTAGCCCTGATTGCATCGCTAATGGTTTGAACCAGCTTGTCCGCAAGGTTGTCTACCGCGCTTGTTGAATCCATTAGCTGTAGCCCTATTCCATGAGCTCATCTGACAAGCACCTTGGCAAAGTCTTCGAGGGCATTTTCTGTCACTCGGAACGGTTGGCCAGTTCGAATGATAGCCCTAGCTTTCGAGTTTCGGCAGGGAACATCTCCTGCAAGCGTTCTGTGATCCGATGTCGACTCGAGCTCTATCGAAATATCTGCAAGGGCACCAGCGTTAGACCAGACTAGGTCGAGTGTGTTTCCAAGATCGTGGGTCGGGACGTCCGGTGTAGAAGATAAGTCCGTACCGTGCTCGAACATCCATTCAGTAAGCAGCTGGCCGTCACCGTG